GAAGCAGGCGCAGCGAAGCCTGACCTTTTTACGCATTCATCGCAGAGAGCGGCTGAGAAAAATATTTATAGGACACACTCTGCTGCACACGATGCACATCTGCCGGCGAAAATTGGCAGGAACTCACTCTTTTCTAGACAAACCGCCCTGGGGGCAAACAGCCACACCGGCAAACCATCACTATTCAATAAGGAGCAGAATAGCTGGGGGCTTCGTCACTGCGCAGATGCAGACGGGCGGCGGGTCAAGAGGGAGAAAGAGAGGAGAAGACAAAGCCGGTTTTGTAATTTAGAGATTGTTTAAAACAGTGATTTAAGAATTGGCTTCTTGAGTAGCATCTGAAGCAAACACCTGCTGCACCGTTACGGGGTTTTAAGGGTTTTGACAGACATTGCTGTTTCGCTAAAACATTCATGCATGTTTCACCGATGTGACTACAGTTCATTTAACCTCCTGTGCAAAACCCCCCAAAAAACCTTCAGATCCAGTTCATGAAAATCCCAACTTTTAATAATCCTGATTATTCTTCCCTCTTTATAAAGCGCTTTCCCTGTTTTATTTATTGTTCTTCCTCGTGTCGCGTCCCTCCCTCCAGAGCTCTGGCGCCCTCCGTGGGGGACGCGTCCCACACTTTGAAAATCCCTCTGTGGTGGACAAATCTCCACTGAAACGGGCAGACGCATCTTAGTCAAAATAATACACATTTCTTTTTTACAAATAGAAATCAGAAAGCGTCGCTTCCATTCCTATTCAACACCCTGAGTTCATGGTAGGACGACCTTTCGCTGCTGGTACCGCTGCAGATATTTAGAGGCATTTCTCTTTCAAGTTTTGGTCATTTAGGCATGGAGGGATCCATAGATTCTCAACAGCACAGAGGATTGGACTTTGACTGGGCCATTCTGACGCATGAATACTCTTTGACAGACAAGTCATAGAGTACTTGTCTTGTCGAGGTCCTGGATCTTTTGCCTTCAACAAGTTTTCTTCAAGGATTCTTCTAAATCCCAATGTTCTCAAAGTTTTGTCGGGTCTTTCGTTCTTTCTTTGTTCCAGCACATGTTGTGTGTTTTTCTGAGTAACTTTCCTCCGCTCAAACGCAGCTGCACGCCACATTTCCAAATTTTTATTTGTAAAAACCTTTTTGAAACAAACACGTGATTCCAAAGTGTGTGTAAGGTCACTCCTCACCTGCACGGTCTCCATTAAACGTCGGCACTTCCTGCCCAGAGCAACCAAGATGGCCGACCCGCGCCACAGCTGAACGTCTTCTACCGCAGGACGCAGCGGGTGACAGCTCAGCTCCATCCTCCCCTTACATAAAATCCATCTTAGCATTACTTATTCAGCTCCTCCGCTTACCACAGAGTCCAGCCAGTAAAGCAGATGAGGTTTATGAAATCGCCAGCGGCTGTCCATTCATTACCATGCCAGCAAGCCTCTCATGTTACTCCCTGCAAATAAATAAACGAAGTAAAAGACGGTTCAGATCCCCGAGCTTCAGGAGGCAACATATCAGATACATTTTCTGTCGGGGCGCGATATTCGCATCAATAATGCAGAAGTACTGGAACGGTGCACTGGGCCCTCTGTGAGCACATTTGGTTTTGCGCGAATTCACGATGAGCAATAAATAAATGATCATTCAGGATTTCTAAATCAGGGAAGTCCAGTGTGAGGCAGCGTCCGTAACGTCAGCTTTACTGCAACTTCAGCAGATTAAATGTGTCCACAGAGGACCTGCAACATTTTTATTTGTTTGGAATATATATGCATATATATTAATTACTGTATTTTAGGCATTTGTTGCTGAGGTCCCACATTTTAAACCTTCAAGTTTTAAGGTTTTAAATCATCCAGTTGTTCAATCATCAGTCCTTATATGAGGCGAAAAGTTGATCACTTCTGCAACACTAAGCCTGGAATCTGAAAATATGTGATCGTCATATAATAACTTATGATCTCTTGAAAAAGACAGCAGTTTGTTGCTATAGTCGATGCTGTGATGGATGCCTTGTGTTGTTTGTTGCGCTTATTGAACTTGTAAAACTTTGCAGAAAGTCTAATATGGAATAAGCTATTTGAACATCCTGCAAGTGTATTATTATAAATTATTGAGTATTGAGGTACAAAAAAAAAAATGATACATTGCCTGGAAATGTAGAGTCTACAATTTACTCTACAATCTCTTTTGTTGTTTGGACCAGTGAAGGTTGAGATGGGTGATGTGGCTCACTACCCAGGGAGTCACTCCACAAAAGGGCAGCAGAAGAAAAAAAACGTGTTTTTTTTTAACACTTATATGAAGCCTTTAACTCATCAAACGCTTTCGTTCAAGGCCAAATGAATGGACTATGAAGATGTTTTTCTAATTGATATGTGAATCTTTGATAATCTTTAGTTCAGAAACTGAAATACTCAGGTTACTAAAACCTGACTATGGGTTCAGTTGAGTAATACCAAACACAGAATATTTGAAACACATTTGGAGATTTATGAGACTTTTTAGCTTCTGAAATAAATCTTCCTAGAATCTGACCAGTCGTCGTTTCTGCGTCTAGTAAACCCAGCTGCGTTTGTCGTGCTGTTGGTCCTGCAAACTTTCTACTGTTTGTCAAACTGCCTTGAAATAAATATGCAACTGAATAATAATCCCGTTATATATAAGTTGTACTTTTTAGGCAGCATTTCAAACTTTGAAGCTGTTTGAAGAACAAACTAACTGCACTCTGCTAGAATTCAATAAATATCTTTGCACAACTTTCAATTCATTCATAGCCTGCAAAATCTCTTTATGATTCGAGTTCACTCCACTTTGCAAAGCATAGCATGTGACAAGAGTGAAGAACTATAAACAGAATCCTCCACTAGCAAAAACCCACACAAACAATCTTTTTTTAAAAGTTCAGCTGCAGCCCGGGTCATTTCGCAGAAGAGCGCAGTCAGCACTTTGACTAAACCTGCTCCGTTTCTCCAGAGCTTGTCGTTATGCACGGGTGCAGCAGCAGCTCCCAGGATCTGCTGCGCTTTGCAGACGGCACACGTCCACCTGACGAGACAGCCAAGCGGCCATTTAGCTAATTCCCGTCAGGCTTGGCTCCTCTGTGGCAACAGCGGTGGGTGGGAAATATGATGGAAGGACTGCCAGCAACAAAGCATTAGCATATTGAACTGAACTGATAAAACTGTCAGTCACACGGCGGTGACAGTGCCAGCATTGTGTTGGTGAGTCTGGCAGCACAAGCTCTTGAAACTCATAACTAAAACAAGAAAAAAAGAAAAGAAAATAGAGACAGAAAACCGATGAAATGGCCAGACAAGAAAGCGAGGCGAAATCCTACAACACGACAACTAATTTAGATTGATTAAGATGCATTCAGCATCTATGCACCAAAAATTTGGAACAAACTTCCAAAACACTGTAAAACAGCTGAAACACTGACTTCCTTTAAATCTCAAATAAAAACGCACCGTTTAGAGTTGTATTTGAAACATAATCAATTAAAAATGTAATGATGGAACTTGACTCCATGTATTGTTTATTCTATGTTGCATGAGTTTGTGTTTTTGTGTTTGTTATGATGTAAAGCACTTTGAAATGCCTTGCTGCTGAAATGTGCTATACACATAAAATTTGATTGATTTGAAGAACTTTTTCTTTTAATTGACCGAGATGATGGCGTGAAATTTTCAACACGCCAGTATTCAACCTCAACTGCACAGACCCATGTACCATCAATTATGCTATGATGCAGTCCGCACCATGTTCACTATCCGGTCTGCTGTGAGATATCCAACAAATCAAGCAAAGGCAAAAGCTTTTCCTCTTTTGTATAATTCATCTTATAGGCACAACAGAGCTGATTTCTTTCAGCTTACTGAAAGAAATGTCCATGTAATGAACTTGACAGAAGGTTGGGGCTCCTTTTGCATGAGTTACTGCATCAAACAGAGAGGCTTTAATGGATTTAATTGCAATACTTTATTTAAAGGTTTTTAAGTCAGTGGAGCACAAAGAAAACTTAAGCAACATGTCAATATCCCTCTGAGATCCTCCCCAAAATGAAAAAAGAAAGAAATCCAGGAGAGCAGAAGCTTCACATTGAAACCAAAACAACTTGAAATCTATTTCTTCTCTCTTCTTTCGGATTTTGGAAACTTGATGGACATTTTTGTCAACGTGAAAAGAAGGTTTTGACCCATATCACAACCTGGCCCAGTTACTTCTCTCTTAACTCAGGTCAGACTCTGTATGAGTCTGACCTGAGTAAGACTCATTCATAATGAATGTCTGTATGTGTTGTCACAAACTCCAGCTGCACACCTTTTTCTACCAAGTGTTTCCTTCCACTCAACTTTCCATTACTATGTACTACGTGCTATAAAGCACTGGGTGAAGAACCAGCTTGGTTTTCTCTTTGTGACTTGTGATCATGTGGGTAATGTGAAGTTTCAGCGTTTCAGGAAACCGAATTGTGGTTTTCATCAACTTTATGCAGGGCTGGATTAGAAAGATCCGTGGCCCTGGGCTGGAACCAGTTTTGGTTTCCTATCCCAAAAAAATACAAAAAATAAAATAAAATAAAAAGAGAAAACGATAAGATAATATTACTCATGCAAATTTAAAACTTCCTGTGTGCGACGACTAAAAACATGGACTATGACTTCAGAAATGTCAAATGTGATTATTGTTTACATTTATAAAAATGTAGCAATGTTAAAACTCCTCACTTCTTTGGGATAATTATGAGTTTTATATTTAAAATTAAGGTGTGACGTTTCACATAGCATGCCTTCATGACAAACCAAACAAAACAATAACATCCTGAATCTTTGGTCACCCCAAAACTAGGAGCCGATTAGCTATAAAAAACAACAACAACAACAAAAACAACCCAAATCAAACAGAATGAACGCAATCTGTGTGAAAGTAATTCATGTAAACTTCAGGTTTTGAATTAAGTTAATGACAACAACCCGCCTCCACCGACGCGCCAGTGTGTGTAAATGGACGGCTCCAGTCTGCAGGGACGTCGCGAGAATCTCAAAGCCCAAATCAACCGGATCACAAGTGAAACAACTTGTTAAACACGAATTAGGACGAATTCATCTCCGACTTCGACAGCACGCTCCTAAAGATGACAAGAACACGAACAGCCAGAGGAGACTCACCCCCCACCTTCCTCTTCCTCCTCTTCCTTTCCCTCCCTCCTCCTCCTCATCCTCCCATCCATCCGCGCTTCCTTTCTTTCTCCTCTCCCGCTGGATGGTGCGTTAGGAGCGCGTGCGGGAAGGCACCGGGACTCTCCTTTCTTCTTCTTCTTCTTCTCGGATGGAGACGGGCTGAGCTGAGCAGAGTCCAGGTCCAGGTCCAGCTCCACCTCCAGCTCCTCTGTCGGTGGAAAAGCCGCTGCTGAGAGCCGGGGCAAGCAGCAGGAAGGGGAGACGCGGTAGGTTAATGGAGGGGGAGCCGCTAATGACAATAACCTGTTGTTGGTGTTTTTGTTTTCTGTGCGCGAGAGAGAAAAAACAACGCGGTGCTAATACAGAGACAGGCTCATAAAAGCGACCCGGACTGTGTAGTTGCTATGATTTTTATGTTTTTTTTTTTAAATTAACAGTATTACAGGAAGAACTTCATTTTATCCGCTGGGTGATATATATGGTCCAGTGTTATGTTTCTCTCACCTTTTTGGTTAATTGTAAATTCGATCTGTCTTTTTTTTTTGACCCACGAGAAAAACGCTCGAGCTCCTTGTGAAAGTCCACACATTTGATGTCAAAGCACATCCCAGTTTATGTAGAATCACATTATCACCCCCCCTGTTTACGTCCATGAGAGGCTGCAGCATAAATAGCATCGACTCGCTGCAATTCAATTACGGACGCAGGCTGGAGGCTTTTGATGGGGTCGCGAGCGCCGCCCTCAGTCCGGACGTGGTAATTGTGCGGCTCGTGGCTTTGACACGCCGGGGCTCACTTGGCTGGGCTTTTGTTTTGTCACGCATCACGCAGCAGCTCTCTCACCGCGCCGTGCGTTCAGCCGCGTTTACGGAGATCCTCACCTACTGACGTCATCCCACGTTTTATTTTATTTTTTCCTTTGAGGTTTAAAATAGGATTCGGCACAAATGAATCACACTTGTTTCACGGTGTGAAGCGGAAGTGGAATCACACCTGCGGGGCATGCGAGGTGAGCCGGCAGGTGGCGATGTGACAGGACTTAGGCTCTGCAAGCTCACCTGTTTGTGAGCTTCAGCGTTTATTCTTTGCAATGTAAGGAAGGCGGTTGGTTTAGCTTAAGATTATCCTTCAAAATGTCCCGTTGAGGCTTCACCTGCTGTCAGGGAGGTTTTAAATGCGGCTCTCTGCTCAGGGGGGCACACCGCAGGGGGCTACCATGACAATTACCTGTGATTTCCACACTATTTACCTGTTACCCAAAAATGATCTCAGGAAAGCAAGAGTAGCTGGCGGCGCTGACCTTAGATAATATTATATTGATCATTCTGCATTTTGTAATAAAAATACAAATGCAATACTTAAAGGACCGCCAGTCATCACTTTTTTTAAAAGATATCTTACTTCCTGAACAATTTGAAAGAAGGTTTGTTTTTTAGTTTGGTAGTCAACCTGTTGTTTTTGTCAGTTTCAGTTTCTTTATTATTGATTTTGCATTGACTGTTTGACTCCTAAATGCACCGACTGAACAAATTAGAGATGTTTTAACATCTCCAATATTTTCTAACACAAAATATTGGTGTATTTAATTGTGCTGTACTGGTGCAGAGTTATCAAACACATTTGTGATTTATTACATTTATGTTTGCTGTTAAGAAGAAACATTTTAAGTCAATTCAGCTCAATACTGAACCTCAGATATCTATCGGTATCGGAAGTGAAAAGGTGGATCGGTGCGTCCCTCGGTTAAGCTGAGATTAACTAAATCATTTGTTTATTTCTTCTCTTTCGTTTACTGTGTTTCATTTCCCCTCTCACCTCCCCAGTCTTCCTGCCACCCATCCATTGTCACGTTCTCATTGAGCATGCCGCTCACACGTCAACACACACAGAAGAAAACTGTTTTTAATGAATCACTCGAGTTATTTTCAGCAAAGCTCTGACAGATCATTTGTTCCGGCCTGCCTCCTCATCCCTCCTTGTTTTCTTCTTTTGATCCTCCTGTTGCTTCTTCTCCCTGCAGATCCTCCATCATCCAAAGGCCTCCTGCGTCTCTTCCAGGGGCGTGTCGCTGGGGATCGTGTCCGCACCATGCTCGTGTAGCCCGCTCGGTACCGAAGGAGTCTTCTGCAGCTCGTCGCGTCTCCATGCATTCTTCAAGGCCAGAGCCGGGCTCGGCGGGAGCGGAGCGCCACAGGCCCGCGCCGGCCCAGACCCCCGACGACTGGGACGGGTGGAGGGATCGAGGGATCGCCGGGTGGAGGGACGCGGGGAGGGAAGGCTGGAGGGAGGGCAGGGAGAGCGGCGTGGTGCAGAGCTACAGCTTCGATTCGTACCAGCTGGAGGAGGAGGAGATCAGTAAGGATGCCCCAGAGCGAGGAGTGCTGGCTCTGTCTGAGCCTGGTGAGCACTTCTCTCTCTCTTTCTCGCTCTCTAAGTGTGTGTGTGTTCTGTGCTATTTATAAAAAGACAGCAGAGGAACAGAGTGGATTTAATGTAGTAGTATATCAGGAGTTGGAGGTGCAGGATATTAGAAATGAGAAAGAACAGCGTGTAACTCTCTGCTGAAGGCACTGCTGTAAATCGTGGACTCGACGGCTTTAATTATGACCATTTCTTGGAGATTACATCCCCATTGATCCGGTACCGAAATGAAAACACATCCACTGGGGCTCCCATATTTGAGCTGTAGGTATTCCCTTGCTGTAATAACACATCATTTCCTCCTCGTTGCATGAAATTGCATCAGGAAGTTAGTTTTTGAAAGGTTTATTTCCCTCATTCTTGTCTGAAATAAGTCAGCAGGTCCAGGTAGCGGTGAAGGAGAACATCTCGGAGAGCACCATGTTTTGTGTAAAACAAGCAGGGCAGTCCTGTTAACACATAATTGCTTTGTTGCCCGGTTACACAGGTTGTACAAAGGCCATGCTAATTAGATCATGAGTGAACAAGGGCACACATAACGAGGGCGGTGGGTGGATCTGCTTTTTGTTTCCTGTGTCTGTACAAGACAGCTTTGAAAACAGAAAAAATATGCAATGACTAGATTAAAAATATGCACATATTCTCTGGTAAATGAATTTCTTCACTACAAAATTTTAGACTGGCTAATAATAACACTGGTTGGATAGTGTTTAAAGGATTTCCCTGGTTTCAAGAAAAAACACACTTAGGTAAAATATCGTTAATTCAGGTTTGGTTTGATGACATCACAAGAGGCTAAAGAATCAAGCTAATAAGCTTGGAATCAGGTGGACTAACAACTTTTGATGAATTTTGACGAATATGATCTGCATTTGAGTTGTATGGGGTTTAGTCTGCTGCCATGGTTTTTTTGGGAGCAGGTTTTGCTTGCAAATGTGATGCAAAAATTTATCTGCAGCACTTTTAAAAAGAGATTTGATGAAATTATAAAGAGAAAAACCTAGAAAAGTACAAATGGGCATAGTTGGAATAACCTCCTTATCCCTTCTTGTCACCAGATGCATATGTATCTTGATGGCTTTTTTGTTTCTTTAAATAAAGTAAATTTTATCCAAATTATAAAACAAGTTACAAAAAAATAAATCAAATAAAAAACCTGATCATAACAAGATGTTCTAAGTTTGACTGACTGTGCCAAAGTAGGAGCTTTAAAAACTTTCCATCCTAATTTTTATTCTACACTAAAGTGGAGGAAATGTTCAGTGAGCACATTAATTTTAGCACCATTTCGACAATCTGATGCCAAACGGCCTCCTACATGCATGGCTCTCCAGTTAAAAAGTCCCAGAAAGCTTGATGGAACAGCTAATTGGCAAGGCACCAATTCAAAATTTAATAGAGCTGTCAGACTTTAAACACGAGCGCATCAGTTTTTATGATTAATTGCGACTGGGGATGTTTCAAAGGTGACGAAGTGAGCGTCACTGTGGAGGACTGAGAGTTTAAACCAGCCAGTGTTTAAGTCGGTGTGTTTCTTTCAGGAATAATTGGTTCTGGACAGTTTTTATTGGCAGTAGGTGTAAGAGTGAGGAGTGGTAAAATCTGTCTGTGTTTAGTAGCCATTGAGAATCTAAACCATCAAACTTAAGATAAACGTTGCGCTGACATTTTTGCAGTCTTGTTCTGCAGCTCAATAAATCGTTGTAAACAGAAACATTAAAAACCCTCGGATCACTTTAGCAAATGGGCATAATTCTGCATCCTGTGTGTGGTTGTTTTCGCATTTCTCCCAAGAACCATGTCGTCAGGGCACTTTATATGAGCCGTTGTTGGAAAAACATCTAAGTGAAGGGAAGCAGCTAAAAGTCTCACTCTTCTACTTGTAATCCATCATAGTTTTACTCGCGCTACAAAAACATAGGTTTTCAAATGTTTTATAAATAGTCACGTCCTTCAAACTACAAGTGTTTTTCACGCAACAAAACGATTGGATGTAAAAAGAAACCGCCCGTTAATCTTGCTCGTGTCGTAGATGGAAGGGAAGAAAAATACCAATATACAGAGCAATCTGTCATTCATTTAGCTCCTACACTTGGAAAAAAAAACCTACTTGAAACTGCCTCTAAGCACCATGCAGGGGAGATGTTTGGACAGATTGGCTATAAAAATGTAATCTGAGGACCTCAATAGATAGATTTAATGGGCAGACAAAGCAAGAAAAGAAAATGTAAGTATATCCTGGGAACTTGTCTGCTCTCAAACAACATTGCAGTTGCCTCAAAGGTCCGGCTGCTGACTTGTTTGTTGTCTTTAACTGCGTTCTGGTGTCATTTCTCAGAATCTGGGAGGAAAAAGTTTTGACCTGAGACGGTTTTTAGTGGGTGAGGAGAAGTGCGTTTTCATGAATCTCTTGTTTTCCGCAGAGGATTTTCCGGGAAATGCAGCTCGCTCTTCTCTTTTTCCACATTGCCAAAAAGCTGCAACACTTTCAATAGATTCCTGGTTTTTCACTATACAACATTTCAGAGTTGTGAGTTACAGTTCCAGATGGGCCTTCATTACTTATGTATGGTGTAATGGCATTTCTGTTCTGGAGAGATGCAACTCCTAAGGCTATGTTAGCTGTCAAAATGACATATTTGCACTGAAAAACAATGGAAAGGCTGGTTATATTTTAAGATTGTAACAGTTTCTGCTCAAAATACAAAGAAGTTGTCTACAAAATAAATTCAGGCATAAAAGATGTCAAATATTGTGGATCCGAGAGTAAGTTATCCTCCATCAGCAGCTCAATGGCTCTTACCTGATCCCAGAGTCATCGCTTTAAAACTGAGAACTACTTTCCCTCCGCAGCCTGTTGTTCAATCTACTCCCTTCCAAATCATTCAAAGCTGGTTAAAGTGAGCTTACAGGATTAGAGAAGGATTATGAGCACTTCCATAAAGATCTGCTCCTCACACTTTATCCATGAAACCGATTCTGCTGCAAAACAGTCTTCAAATTAACCCACTGGGGCAGCTGGTTCCCGATCAGCAACGCCCCCAACTCCACCCCCAATTCATCTCTTATCAATAAGCACAGATTTCCCGTGCAACAGTTGCTCCGCCTGCTGCAGCAGCATCCTTTATCCTCATTAGCTCCTCTGACTGTTGCCTTCATTGGCTCCAGTCCTAATTTGCAGTGGCTCTCAGTAGTGTGCCCACCCCTGATATAATGGCTGTAATAAATCATTATATAAGCCTTTTTCACCTCATAATATCTCATTTTTTCTGTGTCTGTTAGAAAACAAACAAAATAAAAAGTGCTCTTTCTTAAACTCGGTTTTGTTGGTAACAAGCTTATGGGACATAAAATCTGCTTTATTTCATTTCCCAACTGTGCCAACAAACAACCAAAGAAAAAAAAGGTTTTATCTGAGGAGAAATGACCCCAGATCATGATACTGTCACCACTGTGCTTCACTGTGTGGGAATGGTGGTAGTGTGCATTTTTGCTTCCATAACCAAAAAGCTAAACTTTGATCTTACTAAATCCACAACATGTCCTCCTATGAGGCAACCAGTGCTTGGCAGAAATCCTTGCAGCTCCTTCAGGGCTTCCTCTAAGCAAATACTCTGATAACTTTCTGTCTTTTCATTGTTCTTGGAGAAATGTTTGTCCCATATATTTTTTCTGGAAATGATGGCTTCACTGTGCCATTGTTTATATGTGGATTTTTTTTCAACCCGGTTCCTGACTGACATCTTTGCACAAGGAAATCCTGTAATCCTGCATTGTGTAACAATGTGAAATAATTGGGCTCCAAAATGCGATAAATAAAGCATCTCAAAACTGCATTATGCATTACATAATAAAAATGTATTAAAATCCTCGAAGACATTTTGTAATACTGTCTACTGCATTATGTAATAACATTACACATAGTACAAAGTGATTTGGTAGCTCTTTTTTTTGTACATGATAATGTAATAGTTTGACTGCAAAAACACAAAATCCTTTTTAATCTAGTACTAATATTATAACACTAAATACTAATACTAGTGAAAATGTGTTCATACACTTGAACTTAGACAAAAATAACAAGTAACTTTTCGGACAGTTTTACGTCAATAATTCTTGAATATTGATGAAAAGTACTAGCTATTTCACTTATAATAAGACATTTCCCCAAGTTATAAGTGAAAGAGCTAGTGTTTTTTTTACATCTTACATCTTTCAAACTTTGTAAACGCTGACCGTTCGGTCATTTAGTTACTTTTTCAGACTCAGAACCAGACTCTTTGGTTTTAAGGCATGTAAATATATTTTGTTGTTACTGTTAACATTAACAAAGATAATCAAATGATCTCTTTAATGCAAATTGAACAAATCCAAGAACATTTCCAAGACTTAAATATCCACACAGCAAAAGAACATCCAGAGGTGGTCTGGTCTCTAGCTAAAGAAGATTTGTCAGTTCAACGTCTTTTCAACAAAAACCTAAATTTTCAGCACCATGGAGAGAGTAGCCTTCATTTTCTAACCCCGGATTCCTGTTTTCCCTCGTCAGACTTTGAGCAGCCGATCCCCGATGACCGTTACCATGGCATCTACTTTGCGATGCTGCTGGCTGGAGTGGGTTTCCTGCTGCCATACAACAGCTTCATCACCGACGTCGACTACCTGCATCACAAGTTTCAAGGTATCAATGTGCATGAGGCAGTGCATGCAAATATGCACAAACAAGCCCTCTGCAGCCCCACCCTCAGGAGCTCCACCTTCCTCGTGTGTTTCAGGGACGTCCATAGTGTTTGACATGAGTCTGACGTACATAGTGGTCGCTCTGCTGGCTGTGATCCTCAACAATGTGCTGGTGGAGAGGCTCAGCATGCACACCAGGATTACTGTGGGTAAGTCCAAACTTTATTCAGGACTGAAGAACTTATCACGACATAAGTGTTTCATATCAGTAGATGTCAATGATTATTAATTAGTTTTTTTTGTTTTAAATATGTGAAATGCTCCCAAACTGGTGATCTTTTCTGTTTTATCCACAATTTTCACTCCATACTGTTGTTGTTTATTTGCAATTAGTTACCAGACACTGTGCAGAAACATGACACTGCTGCTATGCAAGTTACTCAAGCAGGTTGTTGCTCGGTGACCGGAGAGTGAGTGGGTTAGTTGATGCCACCAACCTTGTTTAGCTCGCTGTGCCGTTTAGGTTGAACGGTCTTTCCTCTGCCTACGTCTCCCAGAATGCTGTGCGGTTCTCGCTCAGAGTTCAGTGAACATGCTATGTGCTGAATATTGAATATTCTGTTGATATTGATCATGTGTCGATGGCGACATGTGTTGTTATTGAATTATTGTGCAGCCCCAGCTTTAACTGCTTTAATATAATAATGTGTGTTATCTTTCAAAGCATTTAAAATCCTAACTAGCAAAGTGCTTTCTCAAATACAACTCCCTTAAAATTTTTAAAATTATGCAAAAATAATAATTAAAATGTCTTTAAAACAATTCCATATTTATGATGTGCATAGGTTACATTTATGGACGGTGATTTTGGAGTTAAGTATCGGCTCCTCAGTAGCAGAAATGAAAGAAAAACCATCCTTATAGTGGGAATGAAAAGAGTAAAGTTCTTTAAAAGAAATATCTCTGAGGAAGATTCTGGTGTCTGCTGTTTTTCACTGTGTGAGCGCGAGCGTTCACCGCTGCACTCTCTGTACCTTAAAATAGCTCTGCCTGCACCCTTGGGGGAATAACTTTTGAAATGTTTCGTCTGCTCAGAAGCTTTTCTGTGTGGTTAATCAATTCGTAGGCCTGCGATTAGACTTTACATCTAGCGAAGGCGATGATGCTCCTCAAGATGGCCTTGTCATATATATGTGTATATCTGCCCGTCATAGACCAGATGAGTTTAAATTACCACTGTAACTCTGCAGGATACATCTTGGCGTTGGGGCCGCTCATCTTTGTCAGCTTGTTTGATGTCTGGTTGGAAAAATTCACCACCAAGCAGGCTTACGTCATCAACCTGTTGTCAGTGGGAGTGGTGGCCTTCGGATGCACAGGTAAGCTATTTCTAACGTTTCTAACAGCTTGCTAAATTTACCTCACTGAAAAGCACAGATGGTACAAATTTAATGCAGTTTCACTGAGACAAATGTAAGGATGGAAAAACAAGTATTTGCAACGAAGGCACTAAAACCAAGCGAGTCACGAGGAAGCAAACAAAAAGAGCAAACAGGAAAATCCGACAGGGATTGAAAGGCAACGTTGTAACGTAAACACTGAGGGAAGCAAGGACAAACAATACAGTTCTGCTAGTTGGCAGACTATATCCTAGAGCATGGGAGAGCAGAAAGCAAGACTGACTGAGAGAAACAGATTCTGGAAGTAAAACACCCATATTTAGATCTAGTTTAAGTTAAAATCTGTGTGTACAATTAATTGTAGGTATATCACAGTTCAGTCAAGATCCATTTGTCCTTCTAGCTGGTAAAACGTGTTCAGTTTAAGCATGTATTAAGACATTGACTGTGCAACATAATCCTCCTGAGCATGCATGTGACCACAGTGGAAATTAACAACTCCTTTTTAACAAGCAGGAACAGAAAACAGCTCAGAGTTAACAAGCAGCAGTCGCAGTCGACTCAGGGGTCAAGAGAAGACCAGATGTACAACAACAGAAAGAAAAATGAAACAAGAAGGACTGATGTTTGTGTTGAAGAAAAATTACGTTTTAATTAGGGGTGCACCAATTTATCGGCCAGTCAATTTATCGGTGCTGATGTTGTTAATTTTGGGAAATCGGTGATCTGCCAATTTTTACATGTGAAGCCGATTTCATCCACCAATGTCATCAACCTGGGCAAAGGCCTAAAAATCAACCACTGTGCTTTTCTTTTCTCTCGTGAGAGAAATTTGACCAACAAACTGACCGACCAGGTCATGTTTGCACATTTACAGATAACAACAGTTATCCCATTGTTGCCAATTCAGCAACTTTCTTGATATATTGAGCAACTTTTCAGACAAAAAGCTGGTACCGGCCAAAATCAGATTTGGTAAGTTATGCTTTTTACAAGATCGGTAATAGGCGACCGGCCAGAAAACTGCAATCGGTGCACCCCTAGTTTAAATGGCTGTAGCAGCTCGTTAGTAGCTTCATTTGGAGAGAAACGCAAGAAGCAATAGTCCATACTATGCAATAAAAGACTGCCCAGATTGTTCACAAAGAGAGAGAACATGAAGAGATTGGCAGCTAGACAAAGTTTCACTCTTTCTAATTCTTTTTCATTACCTTTCAGCTGTCGTTAAGTAATCACACTGAACTAACAGATGTAAATGTCTAAAATTGGACAGAATGTAATTATATGGATATTTATGTCAGAGGATGACGAAGATAAGTTCTGCTAGATGAGTCTTTGGAAACATCAACACAAAACTAGAAGCTTAGATTTTGTTGTTTTTCTGACTAACACAGTCAGTTCTATTGATCTGGTCACAGTCTAATTCCTGGAAATATTCTCTAAAGACGTCTACAGAGGTCCAGGAAGAAGACTGACTCCGTAAACTGTGTTGTCGCAGCGTTCGGTCTTCGTTTGCACTGATAACCGCTTCCCTCTCGCTCTCCCAGTGCAGCAGTCCAGTTTCTATGGTTACATGGGGATGCTGCCCAAGAGGTACACTCAAGGGGTGATGACTGGGGAAAGTAAGTGCGCTCACAAAGAGATTTAATACGTCCACACGCTCACGTTCTCTGACCGTGGCCAAACGTTTCAGGCACAGCCGGAGTGATCATCTCGCTGTCTCGCATCTTCACCAAGCTGCTGATCCCTGACGAGAAGAAGAACACCCTGATCTTCTTCCTGATCTCCATCAGCATGGAGATGCTGTGCTTTCTGCTGCACCTCGTCGTCCGACGCTCGCGGTTCGTCCGCTACTACACCGGCCACGCCCAGGGCAAAGGTCAAGTCAAATGTCACGACCCGCGGGACGCCGGAACTGGATACAGGGTCCATCACGACGTCACCGCAGAGGAAGTGATATTTGTACGTTTTCCTAGCTGCTTCCCGACAAGAGCGCCGTAAAAATGTTTTGTTTGAACTTAAATCCATTTCATCCACTCATTTGAATTTTATTAGGATTTTTTTTAGATACATCAACACATAACAGGAATTATTTTGAAGTGGAGGGAAAATAATGAAAGGCTTTGACAAAATTTTGAACAAACATTGGTTTGAGCAGTGTGTTGCAGATTCTCACTCAGCCTTTCGTGTGAAGACCAGTTAAAACACTACCAGCTCTGAACATCCAGAGCTGGATTTCTATTCTTCTTTCCTCAAATAAAGCAGCCAGACTGGCTGGAGATGGTCTGAAAATACACATTTTCACGTCCTGTTGAAGATTCCCAACTGGATTTAGATCTGGACTTTGACTGGTCTGTTCTAACGCATAATTATGCCGAATCATTCCATCGTAGCTCTGGCTGTACCTTTACAACAGTTCTGCTGGAAGGTGACACTACACCCTGACCTGAAGTTTTCCACGGGTTTTACATATCACTTTGCATGGAGATCATAAAGTTGCATTTTGGTCTCATCTTACCAAAATGCAACATGATCCTTCTTCCACATGTTTGTTGTTTGCTTCACACTTCTGTCTTTGATCAATGGCTTTCACCTTGACTCTGAGTAGTCAAGCTTATTGCTTATTGTTTTCCTGATAAAGCCTCAGTTTAGGTTTACAGGAATGCCTCATATTTGCACCCATATGATAGTGTAGGCATTCATAAGACAGGTGGAACAGTGTTTGTTGAGCTTTTCTAAAGTTAGACTCCTGTTTCCAGACTAGCAGCGTCTGACCTGCCTGCTGTGTTCCAGCTTGTCTCAATCTGAAGTGGCGCTAACGACCTGAAAACTTTGAAAATGCACTTTATGCTTTCACCATAAAAGTTTCAGAAATCTTAAATTATGTTTAAAAAAAAATCCAGATGAATAAACATGTCTGATTCTAAATGTAACTCTTTAATTTAGGACCAAAAAATATATAATAATAAATAGGAACTCATTGTAACTACAATCACAGTTATTCTTACGCCCCTCTGTGCAGAGACACTCCACACTTTTCAGATGATTTTTTGTCATTTGTTTTTTTTAAATAACTTTCCTTATTTTGTCACCCTGATGCAGTTATTCATGTTAAGCTCTCACACCAAATCCCAGCTGAACACTTTGAAGTTTGTGAATATGTTCAAACGGACACTTCGGAGTTTAAATTCTGCGTGGAGCTGCAGACGCTCTCACCAGTGTTGTCATTTTGATAATAAAACCCTGCACAAATATCACAGCAGTGAACTATTTCAGGAGGAACTTGAACTATGCTGCTGCGTCCTTGTTGGTATCTGAGGGGAGACTTTTCCTATCAGACCCGGTTTAATAATGCAGAGTTATTCATGGGCTGCTGTTTTTTGGCTGCCATTCAAAAAGACAAACCTTTGAGCCAAAAAGAGAGAGAGAGCTGTGTTATTAGGATGCGATATGAAGGACAGAACGTGACGTGGGTTGATGAGGGAAAACAGGGATGAAGGGAAAAGAGGCTTAGGCGTTCTGGATAAAGGATCCATGTTGATTAGAATAAAAGACGGAAAAGACTTATCTTTCTGAAAGTGACTGCAGAGGAAAAGGAGGAAGATAAGGTGAGGCGAGAGGGCAAGAGAGCAGAAGAGCAGTCGAGATGATAAAATGGGGGTAAAAAAAGGAAAAAATGAAGGAGGAGAAGCTGAATTCATTTTGTAGAGATGTTTAAAGCAGAACCAGATTTCTGTGTTTTAATCCCTGCATGCCAGTGAGCCTGTGTCAGGCATCTAATAAAAACCCCTGGTGTCACACTGTAGTGTGTGTGTTTGTGTGTGTGTGATCGGGCTGCGTTTCAGTGTCCTGAAACTGTTGACGAGGGAAACGATGGGCTGTGCATTATGGGACAATCAGGAGTACCAGTGCTTTTTGGCGTGCATGGCTTTTTAATCAGCTAATGGATCCGTCTGTGTGTGTAATTTAGGAAACCAGAGAAAGAAGCCTGTATCTGTGTGTGTGTGTGTGTGTGTGTGTGTGTCGCTGCTAATTTGCAGTCCAGTCTGAAGACTTTCCGACATCATTAGATCAACTTGCACTCACAGCTGTCTTCTCTAATAGTCGCTGCCATAAAAAGCTGATTTCATGCTTCCAAAAAGCCATTACTAATTAAAAGACTGGATAAATAAATAAATAAATCAAAGCTTCACTGACTCTCAGGGAATGGTTTTAGTCCAGTGATCTGGCTACATCTAGTGTCTAGTTACAGAAGTGAGCAGCAGTTTTTTTTGTTTGTTTGTTTGTTTTGAATGATTTCAATGTTTTCTGAGGGTTCGGATGAAAGCGTCGCCTTTCGTCTCCACAGGGAAACGGAGGAACGGCGCCGTCCTCCGCAGAGGAAGGCCATGAGGATTTTGTGGGCGGGACTTACGTGAGATTCGACGCCCCGAAAGCCAAGATCAGGAAGAGCTGGCCCGGCGTCCGAGGTACTTCCTGATTTAATCTTCTCACTTTTCAATTAACCCCTGACCTGCGGTTGGATTTCTGCAAAGCGTCACAAGAGAATCTTGACTCATTAGGTTTTTTAAAATTACTTAGTGGATTAAATGTGTGTGTGTGTGTGTGTGTGTGTGTGTGTGTGTGTGTGTGTGTGTGTGTGTGTGTGTGTGTGTGTGTGTGTGTGTGTGTGTGTTCCCCCGCCAGACATGATTCTGCATCGCTACATGGTGTCGCGTGTCATCTGGGCCTACATGCTGTCTATAGCTGTGACCTACAGCATCACCCTGTGCCTGTTCCCCGGCCTGGAGTCAGAGATCAGGAACAAAGCCTTGGGGGAATGGCTGCCCATCCTCATCATGGCCACATTCAACATGTCCGACTTTGTCGGGAAGGTCAGCAGACTTCTTAGCTTTATGAAACTAATTCCCCTCACAGACTTAGTAGACTGACTTTAACTCTGCGAAGGAAATGAGACAGAAGTCTCTTAAAAGATAATAATGTAATATAAGAGGAGAGAATATTTGGGAAGTGTTATATTAAAAAATTGAATGTTGAAAATGGCTAATGGTCTTCTCAATACACGGTGGCAAAAATCTTCATTGGATTTCAGCTGTCATTTATTTTGGGATTTTTCTTCTTGCCTTCTTGCCATCACCATAAGATGGAGGGATTCAAACTTTTTGCCATAAGTGCCAAAAATCCTTAAGGTGAAAGCATGTGAGGCCGCAGAATCTTTTATAACACCTACAGAAGTAACTTTGTGCCTTTTTAATTTGATCTGCTCAATAATACTCTAGAAAATTACAATTTTATTGAAAACAAAATAGTTGTTTCACTTGTAGAAGACCGATCTGGAAATCATTGTTGATACAAAAAAACATTAAAAAAAACTCTTGGAAACTTGCATTAGTATGTGACAGGTTAATAGTTTCGATTGTTTTATTTGTTGTTACTTGGGCTGCAATATTTACAGATCAATAATCGTAGTTAAGATCGCAAAAACCTCATTGATGACTGGAAATACGTTTTTGCATCTGGTGTTTTTTGAAGATGTTATTAATTGTAAAAAATGTTGCCCTGCAAGATGAAAAATAATCCATCTGCAAAAACCAACTATGCTCACAGGTCAAAAATGCATTTTCCTGACAACCGTGGCCCCATTTGTAGAGAAATAAACAGATTTCCTGACAGTATCAGATTTATTCCAGAACATTTTAGCAAATTGTTAAAAAAAAAAAAACCCAGCAACTTCTAAAATGACTTGGGAATAGTTAGATTTAGTGATCAGAACAAATTTTCATGTCTCTCGGTTCATTCAGATTAGTTTGTCCTTTCACCAAATGTTCCCGCAGCCTTCCTTAAATGTTCCTCCTCTCTCTTCCTCTCTCAGATCCTGGCGGCGCTGCCCTACGATTGGTCCGGGGGCCGCCTGCTCTTCTTCTCCTGCCTGAGGGTGGTCTTCATCCCGCTGTTCGTGATGTGTGTGTACCCGGTGAGCGCGCCCATGCTGTCCCACCCTGCCTGGCCGTGTCTCTTCTCCCTCCTCATGGGAGTCACCAACGGCTACTTTGGGTCCGTGCCGATGATCCAGGCGGCTGGGAAAGTACCGCCTGAGCAGAGGGAGCTGGCAGGTGAGCAGACGAGTGGGCTGTCCTTTTGGTGTTCATTTGGTCAGAGAAGATCAAAGATTTCTCTCTGTTTCTTGAGTGACGCATGTCATCTTGCGATGCTCTGAAGCAATGTTAAACACAAATCTTCAAGATCGGATTAAAGAAAACACTGAGCTTGTGTTTAGAGTGAACTCTTTGTGAGTGTTTTTATATTTTTTGTTCCGTAACGGTAAAAAGAAAGTAAATAGTCTGTGAAGCGCGTCACATTTTCGTTTCAGTGAAGCTGTGTCTGATTTTTTTGCCTACTGCAGCTCCAAATGTATTCTGAATCTAAAAATAAGCTAAAGCAACACAGGCCCAAAAAGATTGACATTTCTGGCAGACGTGCTGTGTTTAAGTTTCCAAGTTCTCCAAGTACAAGATGCCTAAAATCAATGTGCATTGTGGCGCTACCACAGAAGCTAATACCAAAAGTCTTCCTTATTGCGGCTCTTGGGGATTCAGCCAATCAGTGCCAATCAGAATAAATGCCACTCCTGAATTGGCTGCTTTGCAAACGGCAGCCTGAACGTTTCAGCTAGCATTATGACTAGACATTTCAGCTTTCCAAACCTCGCTTTAAAAAATATATATTTTAGATAAGGTCTGCTGAACAAAATTCAGTGAATAACTTGAAGTTATATTCCACAGAAAAATCCACGAATACCGAGCAGCGACTGGGCCGAGGTCAGCCGGTGCAATCGTTAACAAGATTCCTCTGATATGAACCCATGAACGCTTAACACGTTTTGTGTTGAATTTCTTTACAATCCTCCTTCTGCGTTTCTCCAATGATAACCTTTAAAAACCTTTTGTGCGTTCTAACTTCACATCTGAAAGTCTTAATTACAAAATGATTTCACTGAATAAATGTTTTCTTAGGATGCTCAGTCTTTAAGTAAAACAAAACTGGATGTTTGACCTGGAGCATCATAGTTTTAGTATTTTGTTTTTTATTTTTAGTTTCTCTCTCTCTAGCTCCTTTTGTTGCCCTCAACATGTTATGCTGGCTATTTATATTTTATTGCTTAATTTTTTTGGTGCTCACCAAATACTTTATTTAATGATTATGTGTTTTGCATTGTACTTTATATAAAACGTATAGTCCCTTAACGAATACCTAAGTATCAAAATTGAGGTATTTTTATGAACATAGTTGAATTATGAAACAGTTGAAATTATGAAGTCAGTATATTTTTTAGGAGGAACAACATGAAGCCAGTGATGAAATGAGAGTAAGCCAACAATGCTCGACTTGTTAATTGTAATTTGCATGAGTAGAAGAGTTTTTCTGAAGTGGACAGGGCACCAAGGAGCTCACGTCCTTGTAAATCTGACCCGGTCCGGCTTGCATGTAGCCTGGTTTCCTCTCCTGTCTGCTGGCTCTCCAGTAATTTCCTGTTCTGCGCTTCTGCTTCTGCCTGCAGGAAACACAATGACTGTTTCCTACATGACGGGTCTGATGGTGGGCTCCTCTGTGGCGTACGCAACGTACAGCTTCACCCCGACGGCGGCCGGAGCGCGCCTCCCCACGCACGCGCCTCTCAATGCGACAGGGTACTGAATGTCCACATAGACCGCAACACGCACACACATAATTATATATCTACCCATGTGCAGCAGACGCAAGCATTTAAAGTTGTAGCAACATTTTCATCCTGTGTGGTGAAGTTTCTAAGAAGAAGAGCGGAGTTGGAGCTGCGCCCCCTGGGGTCGACGTGCCTGACCTTTGAGAATCGCTCAGTGAAATTACTGCCTGCATGAGAGCGAACTGATCGTCTGACATTTGTAAGGTGTGAAGGCGAGTGGTGTTTCGCTGCGAGGAGCGGAGCGCCGTTTGTGTCGAACGAGTTACACTGGTCGTATCTGATGATGTCCCAGAGCTGCTCAGAGTTCAGAGGAAGGTCGAGGGAGTCATGGAGGTCATTCGGGGGTCATCGGAATAACCCTTTCAGCACCTGAAGACATATTAATGGTGAAATAAATGCAAAAACACAAAATCTTAACACATTTTTTTGTCTAGTTTCTATTGCAAATATAAATAAGACAGAACGATGTTACAGGTAACTTTTCAGCAAGATAAGATCTTGTTTTAAGTCAATAATTCATTAATATTGCTGAAACATATTTAGGATTGTTGTTCCATTGGCAGATTATAAGTGAAATAATCTGCCAGTGGAACAATACATTTTTCCCTTATTATTAGTTCAAATGGCTTGTTCCACTGGCAGATCATTTCACTTATAACTCATAATTTTTCAACAATTTTAAGGAATTATTGACTTAAAACAAGCTCCTATTTAACTTATTTACTATTTGTCTGGTAAAATTATGTGTTTTTGCTGCGTATTTACCTCTACCAGACTGACCTTAAAGTATAATTTTCCCCTGTTTTATAGTAATATCAATGATCTGAGATGTCAACATTACTATGCGGTTTATATCAGCATAAATCAGAGAATATTTCTACCGACGACTCTTTCAGTCATCATAGTTATATCTAACAGCTAAACCTCCCTGGTTCTATTCAGTGCACGTCTTTTATGTAAGTTGTCAGTATGTTGCCCAAAAATATTAATGTTTTTAACTAATTTATGTTAATGTGCTTCTTTTACACTGGTTTACCTCAATAAAGCTGAATATTAAGTGTATTTCAGAATTAAAGAATATTTTAAAGCATAAAAGAGACAGAAAGTCTGTACATGAGTATATACTAGCATGCCAGCAGTCGGATTCTTTTATGTAGCTGTTATTGTAGCTGAGCAAGATGGACGACTCTCAGTAGCAACAGGCTGAAGAAGGTGCAGGACAAAAACATGTATTCCTTTGTGTGTAAGAAGCCTTGAAATGAACCCAACAGCAGTAACATAACCTGACTGTAATTAGCTGAAATTATAGAAAAATTCACCCTTTTTTACCCTTTTTCAGTAGGTAAAATGTAGGTTTTTACCTACTGAATAAACCTACATTTATTCAGTAGGTTAGTGGCTGGATGATATCGGATCAGGACTTGATCCAATCTCTGATCTGGTTGTTTTGGCACCAGAACCCCGAGAGAAGGAAGTTAAAGAAGAGAAATAGTCTCAAAGGTTCACTGTTTGTTTTCTATTAATTATAATGATTAAATGCTATTAGTACGTTTCCATGTTTGTGCTGCACGTAAATATGTGAATGTATTGAACAGTTTTATGGGACAGAATATGAATAGCAGAGGGGCCAATGATTTAAACATAAATAAATGTTTTCATGTCTTTTAAAAATGTTCACAGTGAATCTCACTTTAATGCTCCTGCATTAAAAGTAATATGGGTTTTAGGGCTTTTACGTTTGTTTTTGTGGGGATGTAATGGATGTGGCCAGCACCACGTGCGTTATCATTTACACCCTGCAAAAAAAATCAATCCATTCCAATTTTTACAGATGATTTCACTTATTCTTTGGTGCCACATTGAAACATTTAGATCAGTAAGCTGGAACATTTTTGGTTCAAATGTTTACAATGTTTACCTTTTGTATTTCTGCTTTTAATCATTTCTTTTAACAAGCTGCAGGTCTGATTTATTAAAATAAACATTTTGTTCTCTCCTAACTGACGGATACATAAATCTTAGAGACTTAGACTTAGACTTAGACTTGACTTTATTGATCCCTTGGGAAGACTCCCTCAGGAAATTATAGTTACCAGCAGCTCACAGGCAAAAATGTGGCACACAGTAAGCATACACAAAATACAAAAAAATACAAATTAAATACAAAACAAAGAATATAAATACAACACAAAAGGAAATTATAGCAATTTGGTCGATAGATTGACCAGTGATTTATATTGACCTGGTATTTATATTATAAATATCTATGTATATAAATCTGCTAATGTCTTTCTGAGCTCATGTTTGAGACCTCTTAGACTCTGAAAGTGATCTGTGGTTATCAGCATAAAAATGAGGGGAAACAAACAGTGTGGGAAAAAAAATCAGGTGGTGCCAAACGTTTGCCTGAATTTAAAGCTCTTACTATACAACATGAAATGCTCTCAATACAGAATATAGTTTTTGTTTCATCAAATGTAAATTTGAATTTAGAATTGATTTTTAGGATCTGAGTGTGTTCAGGCTTCAGGTGCACTGTGTTACCTACACTAATAACTGAGCTGTTAGAGGAAATGTTTGTAGTCATTTGGGAGATAACCTCATTACTCTGTGTGTGTGTGTGTGTGTGTGTGTGTGTGTGTGTGTGTGTGTGTGTGTGTGTGTGTGTGTGTGTGTGTGTGTGTGTGTGTGTGTGGGTGTGTTCTGCTATTAAGAGAGCATCATATTTCCCTAGACCTTTCTGGACTGCAAGTTTGAAGGTGTCTTTACTTTGTGAGATGTGTTGGTAAAGGACATGAAAAGTCTGTTTAGCGCATGAGAAAAATGAGAATTGAGAGTGAGGAAAAATCCCTTTTTCTTGTAAATGTATACAAAGACCTTAAGCTGATTTAAAGCAACAGTTCTGGGACTTTGAATGAGAGATGTCTTGCTTGGAGATGGATAAAATCATATTTCTGTTTGTAAACCAAGAAGGAAATTGAGAATTTTATGAATATAGTGCAACATGATCAATTTTAACGGTGCCGGTCAGCAGCGATTATCTTCTTTTTAAAAAAATTGGCCATATTTGAAATGCTTGTCGTTATTGAATGGACAACATTAATTTAAAAATGAATGACACATACAAACTGAAACTGGACATCCAGTCTGAATTACAAATCCTCTGACCGCATTGTACCAAAAGTGGCTGAAATGTGAGGTTGTTCCACATGAGCACAATGGTCACCAAAGAAGAAAGTTATTACCAAATCTTCAATTTCTTAGATTGATATGGTAGTTTTGTCAGTGTGAACTCGAAAGCTTTAGCTTGAAAACCTAGCAAACTGGCATCCTACCCGGATATTTAAAATTGAGCTTTAAAATTTTAAGTTTTCCTTTCATTTAATTTACCAAAATGGCAAATAACCATTTGAGACAAAATATCAAATAAAATAACTGAAATTCTGCCAGGTTTCAGATAAACATTGTTCTAATTCTGACCTTATGTTAGCAAGCTATCAGAGATTATTTAGTTCACAGAATATAATGATGGAACTTGACAGCCTCACACATAACCAATCTCCACATTACCGTGATGGTTTAAATGCAGTATGATGATGTAGTTATCAAAATGGCATCCTGAGGACTCAAACTCAAGCTAAGTCTATCTACAATTTTCTAACACCAAAAAATCTCTGGCTGTTAAACCTACTTGTACAGCTAATACTGTACATGTGATGAATGGGACAAAGTCAAAACACTAAGATATACTCTGATATCCATCATAGCAGCAGCTAACTAAACTGATATGTGTGAATGTTAAGAATAAATATTGACATCAAAGTCATTGATTTTACCATTATTTGACATCAGCAGATATTCTGTAAGGGGAGAAAAAAGCAAAACCCACCAGAATACAATGTATTTTTTTGACATGAGAAACTTTATGCTCACAAACAACATCTCACTAGTCTTTCTGTAGAATCTATCAGAGCGGTTTCTGCAACGTGTTCTCATCCTTCAAGTTTAGATTATTTCTTATTTTAAAGCCAAGCTTTAATGGCTCTCTGGGGAAGGTGAGGGTGCTCATTCAATCATTTCTGTGGTGCCATTAAGAAGCCACATAAAATGTTAATGTTTTTCAATTAGATTTTTTTTTGTCAAGAATACAATCTATTTTTTGCACATTGCTCCGCTGTTCCATCAGGCGCATCATATGTCAGTTCTTTTCCATTTTAAGGGGCGTAGCTCCAAATGCTCTGTCTTGCGTTAAGCGTATGTTAAAAGTACTTGTGTGTTTTGAAAAATAATGGGATAAATATGCTTTATTTTTTTATACTTTTAAGATTTTTAGGTTTCCTGGCTGTAAAACATATTGATGATACTTGGCCTTTAATCCCATCCATGAGTTTCATTTTCTCACCTGCAACAGGCGGTTTCAACAGAACATGTGACTGCACACTGTGAGAAATTGTGTGAAAAAGGGTAGCACACATGTGTTGTAAATAATGTACAAAAATGGACTGTAAGATATTTGAGAGATAACATTTGTGACAAAGAATAATTTAAGAATTTGACCAATTCTCTGTAAAGAATAAAGAAGAATGTGCCAAGTAACAATTTGACCGGTTTCCTAGTGCCATATTTGCATGACGTATGTCTAAAGAGCAGTTTTATTGTAAACAAAAACATTCACAAACTAACAATTGTTTGGTTACAGAAAATTAAATGAATGTGGATAAACATTTTATGTGTTCAGCTCATGTTTTCTATTATTTAGTGCCCCTCTCAAGAAAAACATTGTTGTTGTTTTTTTCTTGAGTCATTGTACAAGAAACTAAACATGAGCTGTTTTATGTTATGCTGGTTGAATGATTCTGGATTGTCCCAAAAAAAAGTGTTTATGCTTAAGATTGTACCATCAGTGACGCCTAATAAAACCTGTTTACAACTGTCTGCTTCTGTGAATGGGTGTTAATTCAGCTGCCAAAAGAAAATTATTGGGACAGGGAATATGTCTGCTGAAAATGGATGTCTTACATAAAAATCCTGCTTTAAATTATTAAATTTATCAATAACTAATGATTTAATGGTGAAACCATTTGCATGTAATGCATGTTTGAAGGGTAAGTTTCAGTTTTTATTAAGTCTTCCATAGTCCTCGTTGTTTCTTGTGGATTTAGTCGGTGACAAGGTCTACAGTTCATACAGACAGATATAGATGGGTTCAGGTTACAGTAATAATTATATGATTGTCTGTATTGAATGCAACATTAAGCAACTAATAAACAATTAAATGTGACTTTAATGCCTAATGAAATATTTTTTTATTGATCCTGAAATTAATTGATTTTTTTGAATAAAATGAATATAATTTTAGAGTTAAGCTACAAGTTAATTTTGCCATCACATATATAAATACTAGTTTTATAAATAACTATTGGCTTTTAACGCTTTTAGTTCTGAATGTAAGGAATGAAATCTGCCTTTTCCTATTCTCTACAGCAGAGGGCGCTGCAGTTCTGAAAACAAAAAGTGCTTGAATAGAACAACATATTTCAAGCACTTTGTGAGAGGCAGAATAAAAGAAGTTCAATCAAATGAAATTCTCGTTCCAAAAGCTTTTATTTATGATGAAAGCAAAATGAAAGACAAAAACACAAAAGTCCCCATTCCTTGCCTGGAAAGATAAATTACATCTACTTTGACATCTGCTCCAAATTTTGCAGTGCTGCTACTCTATGACTATGTTAGTGTGTGTAATTATGAATGTCTCAGTGCGCAGGCGTGTATGAGGGTTGGGTCGGTGCGTGTGTTTGTGTGCACATGTGCTAATTTTGGATGATGCTGCAGGCAAAGATAGAAAAGACGATGGAGTATCTGATCATTAGTCCTGCTCCACACAGTCTAGGTATGAAGAAGGAATAGGGAGAAGAAAAACAAGATGGAAAATGTAGGAAGGAAACGCAATGTGAAGAGACTGAAATGTCTGGATCTGACAATGAAACAGCTTTGATTGTAACTTATCCTGCAGTGTGTTTGAGCTTAATTATAAACATGAAGTTAATCTTTCTGTTCTATAACAGCCTATGTTAGAAAGATCAAACTGGGCTGAGAGATCTCATCAGCATCATCCTCCCATGAAAATCTGTTCCTTCACAATAATTTTTATTGATGTGAATAAGCAACAAATTGCACTTTCACATCACTTCCCAGTTTCTGTGGTGCAGATTAAATAAGGAAGTGGAAGACTGCTGGAAGTGATGTTTTTAAGAACTGAGCCCTTTGTACTGATCATCATTCTTGATTTTGGTCATCATTGCTGACCTAAAACAGGAAAAGTTTAATCTGGTTCAATGAAAGACATTGGCGGAAAAAAGGTTACTTGGCTTTTTTGTGGAGTGTAAGTAAATATAACTATGATCTTCACAAAATAGTTGTAATTACATCACTGCATCATCTCAGATCCTTTTATGCTCACAGTTACTTTTATCTGCACTCAGCAGCAAAATACATCAGCCTGACAAAATACACAGACTCTTAGGCAAAACCCAGGGGGTAAATGCCCATGAAGCACCTGCTGTTGCTGCAAATATGGGCATAATAACAAATGGGAGCGAGCCAGTGTGCTAACGCTTTTAGGAGCTCATCTCTTATGTGGGTTTTGGTGCCTGGACAGTTAGAGGACACAGTCAGCAGAGGTCTCAGAGCCCGTCCTCATTATTCTCAGAATAAATTAAGCTCTCACTCCGTAATTAGCAGGGGGCCTGTGGTCTTCGTCTGAATTCAGCTGTCAGGTATTCAGCGGGCATCACTACGTCCTCACAGCCACAATGGGATTTCACTCACTGTTTCTCTGGCCTAAATATCCACAACAGCAGCTTTGTGTGTGTGTGTGTGTGTGTGTGTGTGTGTGTGTGTGTATGCTTGTTTCTGTAATCTTTTGGGACCTCTTCTAGTATGATTTCCAACCTGCTGAGGACCGATGGAGCCTATGGTGACCAGTGTATACTTTTTAATGCTAAACAAAAGTAAACATGATTGGAAGTCAATACAAAGATCTAATATATTTAGAAATACAAACTTGAGTGTGTGTGTGTGTGTGTGTGTGTGTGTGTGTGTGTGTGTGTGTGTGTGTGTGTGTGTGTGTGTGTGTGAGAAAGAGAGAGATCCCTGAAATACAAAGACTGTGATGTTTCATTCATTACGTTGTCAGCATGAATAATAGAAAACTAATTGATATGCACCACCTCATCCACTCTAGCATGCATGCTTCCATCAAGGATCACAGTCTGAACTAATATTTGTATGGCTTAGCAGTCATTTCAATTTCAAATTCTTCGAAAAGATGCAGTGTTGGCTGAGAAGGACAGATCGCAGGGCAGGAAAAGATAAGAATACATGTTTTCAGTACCTGACCACAGCAGGAAGTGTGACACAGAGGGAGGTGTAAAGTACATATTGAAGTCAAAGAAACTGACTTTAACACACACACACACACACACACACACACACACACACACACACACACACACACACACACACACACACACACACACACACACACACACACGCCCATACGCACACACAAACACACACCACACACACACACACACATATATATATATATATATATATATATATATATATATATATATATATATATATATATGCAAGTTTCTTCCAGATGACTGAATGAGCACTAAGTGTCTGTATGTGATCTTTAGGATAATAACTCCTTTAAGAAAATGTTGGTAATTCTGTTTCGGCCCTGGATGGTGAAATGATCTGTATGAAGAGTAAACAAGAGTACACTGAGCCAAAAGTAACACACCATGCTCTCACACATCAAAAAGGAATTCTATAGCTTTCATTCCAAAACCCATAAACTACTCAAAGAAAATTGTGCATTTATCACAGCCCAATAGGGCACAGAGTATCAGTATCAAATTTATGAATCTTCACTGTTTTGCTGCGAAGCAGAAAGTAACACGGTTCTCTCTGCTCTGATTAGACAGGTCTATATGACTGAGTTGTAACCGGACAATCATTTTATGCACAAAAACGCGCAAAATTCAGACCTCATGCACAGAATAAAAACATTGAGTTTTTTGGTTTGTTTTTGTTCTCACATACATATGCTAAAAACTTGGATCTTTCTCACACAATGCATGGACCTCTGAGTTTAGCTGAGCGTTACTTGATCCCCCAGGAAGTGTCCACAATTAGAAATTTAAGAGGAAAGGAGAATGAAAGAAGCAGAGAGAAGGAAAGTGTGTTTTTTCTGACAGAAAAGAACTGAAGGATAAATACAGCTCTGAAACTGTGAACAATGTGCCTTTCAGACTGCTCTGTATGCATTTAAATGGCCTCCAACTTGAGATACCTGTCTCTCAGGAAACTGATTACGTGCACAAACACGCACATCTGAAGGAATTCAGAAAACATACTCAAATACACATGTATGCTCCCACAAACACACGCTTTCTCCAAATGTGTGTAGGATGTTCTGCAGTCTCAGCCAATAGAGCGCTTCTGCTCATGCGATGTCGTCCAATCAGAGCATGGCAGGCTGACACACCCTCAGGAGGATGTGTGGAACGATGCTCAGGCATGATGCAGGCAGAATGTGTGTGTCGGAGCAGGCTCCCAGCAGACTCAGATGTTATGCTGATGGCGAGCCTTTCAAGAAAACTGAGAGGTGTCCAAACCCCTGACTACTGCAGGAGCACATCTTCAGTTCATGTCAGCACAGATTTAATTACATACAATCACACAAAACATCCAAAGACAAACACTCTTGGGAACGCTCAGAACAGTCAGAGGTGAAAAACAGGTCTCTCACAGCGAGTTGTGCAGCTCTGCAAAGTGGGCTGAACTTCCCTCCATTTTATCACAGCCCGCAGCTTCATTATTGGACTGCCAAAATGGAGGTTTGATGGAGACCACTACAGATTAAAGGAGCAGTCCATGAAACGGGACAAAAAAAGGAGAGCTGCTTTTCTGGTGGAACTGCTGGAAATCGGGTAATTCAGGGTTCCCAAAAATATTTCTAATTTGGACATTAGGCTATTTTTGCCTGTTGTTTCTAATTTTTAAAGAAGATCTGTATCAATTTTACATGATTAACCTTTAAGACCTTAATGCATGTCCTGTTTTTGGAGCACATTGTTGTGGCTCTGAGCTCAATAGTTCAAATACTCAGTATTACACAAATTAGTCTACCTTTTCATCTCAGAAAGAAAGACATCGTTTCTCATGAAGAATTTTGCAGCATCCCATTTTTCATATTTGGGTATTTAACTGCAGCATTCTTCCCTACGAAACGCTATATTCACTGAAGTCAGAATTTTAAGAGTCCAAGATTAATAAATGAAAACATTCCTTAAGCCTTAAATTCCAACTTCAAAAGTATGCTTTTAATCAAAAATCTTAGTAGCAATTAAAGTGTTTCACATAGAAAAGGTTGGCTTTGATAATTTATCAAGAAATTTAATGCCTGTTTGATTTTTTTTTTGTACTAGGTTTTCTTTAATTTGACTACCAGAAGCAAGCGTGAATCAGAAGAGAACTAGTTCACAATATTATACATGTGCACAATAACTACAGTAAGCAAGAAAGTTTTTTGACCATATCATACATTTTAGAAACATTTTCTAACTTGACTTGAATGTTTAATGAATTTAATCATAGCAAGTGATGTACATCTGTGTAATGGGGCTGTGTGGCCTAATTAGATTAGTATCCTATATGTCTAATTATCCTGCAGATTATTTTCTTTTGGTAAAATTTAAACAAAATATCTAAAATATGTTCAAGATATTGGAAACAACACCAACGTGTTGCTTGATTAAGACAACCGAGGATAAATTGGCTAAAGTGGAACCGTTTCAGATTACACATTGACAAAAATAAATATATGAACAGAAAATGACAACTCACAGAGAAGACAAAAA